AGTTAGGATCATAACAGACACTAACATTAGTGGATTACAAGGTGGGGGGGTGAGTAGGGCAGTAATTTGGAGAAAACAGGAGGTCGGTTCATTTTAATTTTTGTCCAGTTTTGAGGCAAGGAAAATGGCTTAGCAAATCAGAGTGGAAAGATGTTGTCCAATTCTCAGCCCTATTGGAACCCCACGAGTGCCATTATGTACACTGGTTTCTTGTGCTGCTATTCTTGTGTAAGAGAAAACTGAGCTGGTTCTCACCTCCTCAGGGCACTCCCTGGCATACAGTGGGTTGTGAGTGACAGTGACAGGGAGGGTGACGTGGGAGCAATCTCAGCATCACTGTAGCAGTCTGAGCTGCCCCAGGCATCAAGTGCTGGCTACTCACAGGCCACAGAATAAGCTCATGGTGTTTAACACAAGACCGGGGTGTGAGTCATAGGGGAGCTGCTGGAAAGGCCAGCAAGGGACCTGGCTGCTGTACTTTCCTAACTCTGCAAGGAGTGGGAGTCCAAGGCAGCACTGATTCTCAGGGAAAAGCATCAGAGAGTGCTCTTTGCCCAGCTGGGCACAGAACAGACCTGCTCAGTCCTAGTGCTGGGCTGCCTGTGTCTGTAGGCTGTGTAGCAGAATGTTCCTGCAGCTGGCTACAGGCATTCATGGTCGAGTGTAGTCCTCCTGCATTAGCCTAAATTCAGTGAAAAGGTCACTGTGTGCTGGGATGTAGCTGTACCCTCAAGTACCTAAAAGACAGACTTAGTTAACTACCATGTGACTAACATAGCCCAGAATTATCAACTTGATGTTACACCTCTGTTTTCATGTTCCTTGGTATGCCCTGGCACCCTGTGCTGCCAGCACCTTGCCTCAATAAGGGCAACTGAGGGGAAGGAGTTGGGAGCTTGGAAAAGCAAGTAGAAGGCAGAAGGGCATTTAGCTGCTGGGTAAGGTAGTCTGGAATGTGAAATGAGCCCTTGATTTGCATGTTCCTGCTTAAATGAGCCCCAATGAAATGCTGAACAATGGAATTTAAACCGAACATCACTAGAGCTGGATGCAGTCACTGACACAGCAGCTACAGCAGATGCTTGGAGGACATTTGTTTCAGCACCTTTTCTACACTCATTGGGCTGATAATGTTGAAAAGCCTTCAGATTCTGCAGCACATCTTTGCATGAACTCTGATAGTTTTTCATGGCTGTGATGCTTCAAGGTGCAGAGTGTGGCTAATAGCACTTCACCTTGTGAACTTGCCTTGTTCCAGGGAAGTTTCAAGGGCTCTTATTTCTGAAGTCTCTTTTGCTTGGAGCTGGAAGAGGGCTAAGGAACACTTCAGCAGAAAGTTGTCCCAATCTCAAGCTGAGGGAAGGTCCGTGGATGGTTGTGATTTGAAGTTGGCTTGCTTGAAGACAAGGACCCAGTAAGCTGGGCCAGTGCCATTTCATTTGATGTGCCCTGAAGGCAAGGGGAGGTGTTGGGGTGGGATGGACAGCAGCTCCAGGGCTTGGACACCTCTAAGGGTTTGCATGTGTAGGGAAGATTGTTATGCTGTTTGTTGAGTTTAAAGAAAGAAAAACAGTTTTTAGGGCTGTTATGCTGGTGGATGAAATTGCAACAAGTGTTAGAGTTGGTATAGATACATTATTTGGCCAAGCCAGTGGAGGTAGCTAGAGGAGCACAGTGGGGTTGTGGAGCATGAATTGATACACTGGTGAGGGGAATAGGCATACAGACCCTATGGACTAGAGAGAATGGATGCATGAAACGTGAAGGAGAAATAAAAGGATTTTCTAATATTTCCTAGAAGTTCATAAATAGCAGCAAAAGGTATGATTGGCTGGGGTCTCCCATTGAATCCCAGATACAGATGGTCTGATCCAGGCCATTCTTTTCCATGATAGCTAAGGAATTTCCAGAGTGGGAAAAAAATTAAGTTTCCAGCCCCTTTTTTTTTTAGTGTCCTTATGGAGCCTAATCCATGTCCTTTAAAGCCCATTGTTTGCACCCCATTAGATGCACAGTATCTATCCTTGCACTATCTTTCTGATGTGTGATTTGTATGGGAGAGCTTGGCCTGTCCTGGGACATGGCCAGGAGAAGCCTGAGGACCACTCTGACGGGTGTATCCCAAAGCCTCTCCTGTACTGAAATGCTTTGAGCAAAGGACTGTAGAGGCATGTCTTCATGGATCTTCTGTTTCTTCCCTGGTCAGATGATTTACCTTTAAATTCATAAATAGCTCTGTGTAACTTGCATTAAGAGGATGTTTCGAGCTGTTCCTGTGCCAGAACTCTTCAGTCCCTCTGCAGAATGGTGTTTGTTTTCCTTGGGCAGAGGTAAATCCTGAGGACGATCCTCCTGTGGTGCTGCTGCTTGCTTGGTTGCGTGCTCTGGTGGCTGCAAGTATGGCCTGGCTGCATCCTGCACTGGACTGAGCCTGGTGTGGTGGGAAGGAGTGAGATGCTGTCTGTCCCTGAGAGTGTGGCTGAGGTCTGTGTATTGTCAGGGGAGACCCTGGGCATGGGGAGATGCAGAGTGCGATGAGGCTGAGCAGTTCAGTCAGACCCGCACGTGGAGTGTCTCGGGTGCTGCCGCAGCGCCAGCGGGAGCAGCTGTTGTGGAGGTCAGGAAGGTGAACCTGTAAGGATAGTTGCAAGCATATGAGGGTAGGGGGATCTTTCAAAGCAAGCTGTTAACTGAGATGATCTGTTTTTATTTCCTCAGAGCTCTTGTCTATGCCAGCCGTAAAACGATTTTCTGTGTCGTTTGCAAAGCATCCGACTAATGGTACGTTTGCTTCCTTGACTTGACATTCCTTCACACTTCTAACCCCACGCTCACGTTCAGTTCTCTCTGCACATGTTCTCCTCTCAGCCTTCTTGTGGTTTTTTTGTCTGTGTATCTGGTGTCCAAACACGCTTCACCTTCCCCCATTGTCTCATTGTGACTAATGTGTTCACTCATCCCGTTACTGCTCAGTGGTGCCTCTGCTCTCCCCTGAGGTGTTTGTGTCCTAGGTGAAAAAGCAGAAACTGCGGCTCTGTGAGTGGACTGCTAAAGCAGCTTTTAACTCCACTGCTGACATTAAGGCCTTCGGTCATTCTCCCTTTCAGGGGGGTGGGGGCTGGGGGGAGACTGTCGCTGGATTGGGGTGTGATGTCCACTTCATATGCCAGAGCATCAGCAGCTTTGGTGCTCCATTTCCACACTGCAGATTTGCAGGATGAAAACAAGGATAGCCTTAGCCCAGCTGTATGTCACCTGGAAGAGCCCACTGTAGGGTGGAAGGAGGTGTCAGCAGCATTCCCTCTGTGCATGGTGTTCCATGTCAGGAGTACTGGTAGCCTCATGGCCTCCTGTTTGCAAACCTGTCTGTTAGGCTGGTTGTGTGGTTCCTCCAAGCACGGTGATGTTGATACAGGTAGGCTCACCTTTCCTGCAGACCTCATCCTAGGAATGGTTTCTCTCCAGAGCTTTTGTCTGCTGCTGGTGGACAGTGCTGGCTCGGGCCTGCCGCCTTCCTGAGGTGGGAGGGGATCAGCATTGTGCTGTCACCTTCTTCACCCCATCCTGCCTATGGCTCTGGAAAGGCTTGGTGAAGGATGTCTGCCAGTGCTTCTGCTGACTCACTATCTCTGCTCCATGTTGTTACTAACCTGACACTCAAAAGTGGGAGTCTGTGAGGTTACAGGCCACTAACTCTGTGCAGCAGGTGCCTTGAACTAGTGTTTGCTCTCCGAATCTTGCACAGATACTTTTATAAAGGTTTCACAGCATGGCTCCTCCCCTCATGCCTCCTGCTGTTGAGACAAGTTGGAACCAAAGCAGATCACTGAAGGATACCAAGTGAAGTACTTTTGCCCTACGTGATCAAGGCAGCTTCTGCAATCTTGTTGCGAATATGAAGACATCCTGTTTAGTGTGATCTGGAAGATGAATGAAATTCAGAAGACTGTTTTGGGAAGGATGAAAGGGGAAAGGGCAGCTCACTATGGTTCTACTGTTTCAGATAACTGGAGGGAATCTGTTCTCTGTGTTTGCTTGGTTTTGCTTTTCCCAGAGTGGCCAAAAAACTGCTCTGTTTGTCTGTATGTCTGGACACCATCTGAGCTCACGTAGTGTATGTCAGCAGGGTGTGTTGTTCTATCTTGCCTGCAAAGCTTGCACCCAGCTCCAGGCTTTCCTAAGCCATGCTGCAAAACAGTTGCTCATGCTCCAAATACAATAGTGTTTAACTGGGCATCAGGTTTCTCCCCAAAACCCAATGAATATTTCCAATTGAAAAGTGCTTCTTAATCAAGAAAACAAAGACGGGGTCCAGCAAGAACGAGCTTGAAGTCAGGGATATTTGGTCTAGGCTTGGCACTGCTTTGAGCAGGAAGGATGTTTAACCCCATGAACCACTTACCTGAGGATGCAAAAATTGTTCCCAGCTCTGAGTCTGGATTTTGTTTCTGGAGAGCTGCCTCTGTGGTGAAATGAGACGGGTGGACCACGGCAGTGGCCAAGCACAGCATCAGGCCAGATGGTTTATGCCCTGGTCGCATGACTCTTGGGCATATGATGCGAGTCCTGAGGCTGTGCATGTGGAGGAGAAGACATGCCTGCATGATGGTGTCTTGTCTGCCATGCAAGGATATCACAGGAGCTTGCACAGGGCTGTTCTCAGAGTCTAGAGGGAAGGTCAGTGCTTCTGTGGACCCCTCTGTTCTTTCACACTCTCAGCACTCTGCTCTCGGCCAGACCTTGCTGTCCCTCGTGTCCCTTGCACAGCCTCTGCTCGTTCGATGCTGGACCATTTACTCTCTGTCCCACGTGCTGAGATGCCTGGCAGCACTTGAATGCAGGACTCGAATGCTCTGTTGGCAGTTTGGATTTCTCATCTCAGCCGCGGGAGGGCAAGTGTGGGCCTGAACCTGATCTTCTTATCTAGCCAAACCTGAAGTATATTGGACTTGGAATGTGTCCTAAAATTTATTCACTTGTCAGACTTTCACTTCCAAAGATGAAGCCTCACTGTTCAGGTGCTGCCCTGCACTGCAGCCAGCCGAAGGCTGGGCCGGGAGGGAGGCTGGCCTGCCCCGCTGTCTCTGGGGGGACACAGCTGTAAGGGCATTCCTGACCTGCTCACTGCGGGAGGGATTGGGCTTACTGTGTGGTGTGGGTCCTTCTCACCCAGCAGCCCTGGTGCTGACAGATCCATCCCCACATCTCCACAGCTTCTCTGTCCCCAGCTGCACCTGCCCCTCTCCTCTCACTCTCTGTGGCCCCTTTCCTCCAGATGTGTTGGAGCACCAGCACGTTGCCCAGTTGCTGCGCCGTTTTTCCTGTGACTGTGCCACGAGCCGGACCATCTCCCTGGATGCCACCCTAGCCCATCACCTGCAGCAGTGCTCCTACCACCTGCGCCTCTTCAGGAGCTGGCTGATCTCAGGGCAGGATGACTTGGAGTGTCTTTACGGTACTGCACGCTGCAGCTGCCTCCGTCCCATGCTCTTGTAGCTGAGCAGGGACCACTGTCTGCTTGAGAATGCAGAGTATGCTTTGCTTCTAAAAAGGAAAGCGTTTCCCTCACTGCATCCCAAGGTCTCTAGGCTGCTGCTGCAGCAAGCTGTGTGTGCTGTTGTACCAGCAGTGTTGGAGCCTTAGGCAGGAACCTTTCCATATGGAGCCAGTGCCGTTTCACACAGAGCCCACGCTCCTGTGTAGCTGTAACTGCTCTTTCCATCTTTGGCAATTGTTGCCTCCTTCCTTTAGCCAGGGTAAGCCATTAAGTTCCCTTCAGGGTAGGTGCTAAGCTCCTACCAACGGGATGCCTGGCTGGCAGGATGCCCCATGCAGGTCTTGGTGGGATGCCACGGGGTGCCCCCTTAGTAACGGAGGAACTAAAGTGAGTAGTGAGAGTATGGGAAGAAGAGGTTGAAATAGGTACTGCAGCTGGCCACATGCTGAGTGAACTTGCTGTGGAAATTCTGGGGCAGCGAGTGCTTGTGGGTGTGTTGTTTCTAGAGAAACTGAGACAGGGTAGAGCTGAGCTTCTGTGGCTGCACTGCATGGCATCTGTCCTGCCTCTTAGGGCCTCTCAGTGTGTCATGTCTCTGATGGGAAGAGATAGACGACTTGAGCATTGAATCCAGATGTTATAAATCAAAGCTTGCTGCTGTTTCTCCGGTGTTTTTCAACCTCTGGCACAGATTGGAAGTCTGGTGCATGGAGGCCTTGGTGCTTCTTCCACCACACAGGTGGAAGGATTGCTGCTCCCGGACTGGGGCAGCGAGCTGGGATTGACTGCTGAGGTTTAGCTGCACCATAGAAGCTGCTCAGAGCATGTGGCTTGCTGAGCTGTGTGGTGTGATGCATGGACCCCCTTTTCCATTCAGACCCACAGGTGGAAGAGGCACAGACAGTTCAGCCTTCTGTGTAGTGAAGCAGCCAGACTTTACAGAGCCAGGAAGATTGGAATTTTTCTTACACAGACTGTTTTAACTTGAGAGAGCCCTTTCTGTCAAGCAGGCAATTTTGAGACAGCAGTTGCTTTTCATGTGTGATTAGGACAATCCTTGGTCTCCTGGCAAAGAGGAGCAGTAATTGCTTCAGGAGAAGAGATGCTGGATCACAGCAGACTGCTCCAGAGCCAGGGCTGAGCTTCCCCTGCTGCAGGTCTCGGCCGTGTGCTGTGAGCTCAGGTGGGGAGGGGAAATGAGCTCAGTGCTTTGGGCAGCAACACCCCGAATTCTGCAGCAGGGTGCTGGGAGGTGCAGCCTGACCTAATGCAGCCAGACACAGGAGTTACGTACTCCTGACGTACCCAGCACAGCAGCCCTCCTGGGTGGAAATCAAATCTCTGCCATCAGGGAGTTCATTCTTGTGGTTTTCTTAGTGTTTCATCAAGCCCACAGTTCATTGGAGTGTTTGGAATTCCTGCTGAGGCCCTTCTCTGAGCAGACATTTCCTCCTCGTGAAAACTGCATTCTCCTGTCCTCTCTTTCTTGGCTTTCCACTGTACTTCTATCCATGCAAAGAAAACATAAATTAGATAGAATCAATGAGTCAAAAGTATGCAGTTGGCATCTGTAGTTGGAAAGATCAGCTATGGAGCCCTGAAGTAATGTCTGGGAACCTGCGTGGTCATAGCTAGGAAAAAGAATAGTGTGAAGTAAGTTTGTATTGGTAAGGAATTACCCTGGTACTGAAACCAAAGGTCAGCTATGGAGAAACAGAGTGGCCCTGGGATGATGAGCAGGTGATGTCCAGTGTAAATAAATTTAAATGACAAGGAGAAACAGCCCCCAACTCCTGTATAAAATAGAGGGCTCTGATCTGACCATCACCACTTGGAACAATGTGGAAAAGGTAGAAATTTGCAATCTGGGAGGGATGTTTGTAATAGTGGTCATAGTGGCCTGAGGGGAGTGGTGGGGATCCACAGATTCATGGAGTTCCAGGAGCAAGGAGGTTTTCAATGAAGTGAGTTGAGGCACTTCGGCCAGAGGTGTTTTGTTCCACACTCCTTACCATGGTATCTGGGGGCACTGGGAGCTTAACGGAGTTCAAGGGGAGGCTGGAGAATATGGAAGAGACACATCATGTCCAGAGCAGTTCTGAGCTATGGGTCGCTGGTGTTTGGGGCACTGCTTGGGGAAGAGTCATGTGTGCTGTCTAGACTTGTACCCCTTCATTCTGGCATTGTGGACAGAGGGATGCTGAGCTAGGATAGACCTTCAGGCCGACTGATGGGTTAAATTTATGCTGGCTAGCAAAAATCCTTGTTCATGTACATACCATGTGCGCATATATAAACATATACCGACATACATGTGGCATGTTGGAGTTTTCCCAGCAAAATAGAGCTGGACTGACCATGCTTGTCAGAGAGGAGCCTGAGTGCTTTCATCTGTGCTGAGACTGGACAAGTTCTTCTTCATTGCACAAGAGCAGGCATGCAGAGCTTTGGAGTACAGACCTTTTGGGGATGTGCCGCATGCCGTTGGTCTGCCTTTTTGCTTCCAAGGTCTCCAGCAGAAAGGAAAAGGCACCCTCTCACTCCAGTGTAGAGTTCTCAGCTGGAGACTTGAGTAGTTACTACTCAGCAACTTCTGCTAATCAAATTGTAATAATGTCTAATAATGACTTTTTTGAGGCCATCTGCTGAGAGGTGGCTGTTCGCAAGAATTTTGTGTGTTCCTACTGCCTGCTGGAGTCTCCTAGAAATCTGAGGTTCTCTGATTTAGCTGGATGATATGAGACAGGTGCAGGTCTCTGTTTGCTTTATGTGGTGTAGTGTGCTAGATGATCTCTGCCAAAGGGTCCTTGTACCCAAATCACCTTCTTAATGCTCTTATGAAGTTGTGTGTCAATATGAGGCAGCTCTAAAAGTCTTATTCTAAGGGGAGGGTCACTCCTTCCTTGAACATCTGGAATTCTTCCCAACCCAGGTTACACCAAGTAAACTCTCTGCCTGTGCAGTAGAGTGTGCACATGCTGAGGACATGAAGCACAGGGGAGAAGAGCTCAGACTGGAACATGGTTAACTCAGCTGTAAAGTGAGTGGGTCTTCAGCTTTGGCATCAGAGTGCCTGGGAGAGTCAAAACAGGCCTTGTGACTCTCTGCCTGGGTTGTACCTCTGCTCTCACCTTCAGACCAGCTCTTCAGTCAGTACCGTTCCCACTGCAGCTGCATCAGGATGCTGCTGCACTATGATTCAGAGGGGAGATTCCCCCATAGCTGCTCCTCCACATCACACACACTCTTCTTGGACAGCCAAAATAACACATACTCAGCAGACTTTTCTGCCTTGTGTATCTCAAGGTTTTTCCTGTGACCAAATCTTGCTTTCTTTAACAGATGGTTTCTTCCTATTACTGAACAAAGATTTGGGAGACATAACTATGGTGTACTGTACTTCTTGCCTAGAGAAGATAACTGTTGACTTTGGGGTTCATTTTTAGCTACTCAGCTGTGCAGACCCCTGGCACATGCCATGCCTCTGCCTGTGGGGCAAGCCCAACTCTGGAGGACACACATTGCCCTCCGTGTCCTGTCCCTAACGTGGCTGGTGTACTCAAACCTGAATGAAATGAAAAATGAAACTTGTTCCTCTGTGGGCTGCTGTTGGACGTTGGTACAAAATGAGTGGAATTCTGTCCAATTTCTCCTGCCATTGTCCGCATTGCAGACACCTGCCCTGCAGGCCCCAGGAAAAGAGTTTGGGGGAGCATCTGCAGTACCCACGCAGACACCCAGGGTGACTGTCAGTCTGAGACAGTTCCTGTGGCTTGCTCTCACATTTTATTTTTGTTGCCCCTTCCCAAAGGTGTTGATTCTTTGCTATGTGCGTGTGGTGCAGCAGTGGTCAGAGGCTTCTCTGGGGACACATAAGGATTGCAGTCTGTAGTGGTAGCTGCTGCCTTTGCCGTGCCGTGGTGGCATGAAGCCACTGGTGGCCTCTCCCCAGCAGCTGAGCAGGTCCAAGGAGGTAAGCAGGGAAGTGGGCTGCCGTACACTAGGGAGAGGGGCTCTTTGAACACAGCAGTTGTCCATCTTGAAAAGGGAAACTTTGGCTGTTTTCTCTGCTTGCTCGAGAGCAGTTCAGTGCCACAGCGCTGAGCTCTGGAAGAGGCACCTGGCACTTTGGGGGTACAGGTGTATCATTTCACATCAGCTGTGTGTCAGTGTCTAATGTTTCCTCTAACGCTGGACCTTTGATTTCCTCATCTTATTAAAGGGGTGCCCAAGCACTCAGATCCCCATGGGTGTCTGCAGTGTATCTTTTAACAACCTTGCTTTGCCCTATGTTATATTCAAACTTCTTCCCTTTTTCTTTGGAGACCCCAACACCTGAGCCAACTTGGCTCCTCTCAAACCAGATTCTGTTGTGAAATGAGAGTAGCCTCATGCTGGAATGCTCTACAACCATCTCCCATGACCGTTTAAGTTTTGCCCTCACCCTTTTTCTTTAGCTCTGTCTCCCAGGAGGCCTATGAGAAAATAATGAACATACATTCTTCCTTACTCAGCACTTCCACTCTCAAGACTCAAGAAGAATGTGGTCTTTTTCCTGTGTCTTAACATTTCCTCATCCTAGCCAAGGATTTGTTATCCTGCCTGTCTTGAATTATGTTGTTAGGCATAGGTAACCTTGTGGACTCTGGAAGGGTTTTTATCTCCAGCAGTTGCTATGTCAGTGAACATCTCCACTGGCTCGTGCTCCTTGCCTCTTGCAGGACTGGGTTAGGTGAGGGGATTGGAACAGTCTGTCCTGGAGGTAACTGGAACTGACTGCACTTTGCAAACAGGTGCTCCAGGGCTTCTCCTGAGGGGCAGCCAACCTGCAGGGGTCAGTTCTAGCCTGTCAGTGTGCTGGACAGCAATTGTGACACAGATTGCATCAAAAACTCTTTTACTTTTTGCATTTAAAAATATTTTGCCTTATTTGTAGAAACAAACCCAATTCCTTCCCAGGGTCTTTTTGAGCTCCTTGGAAGGAACTGTAGAGTCACAGAATGGGAAGCCCAAGCTTGAGGAGTTGAGAGGCCTTTAAACTCGAGAGGCGCAGAGCAGGAGGAGGCCTCATTCCATACACCTGTTGGTATATGTTTTTTCCTTGCTCCTCTGACAGTTCAGGTTGGTTTGGTTCCACAAGGCATTTCCAGGAAGCTGGGATGAAGAGGAAGATACTTTGCTGTAACACTCTGCTGGCTTGAGCAGCAAAGGATTTATTGTGAATGGTTGCGTTGCAGCTTAGCTCTGAGCAAGTGTTTGTTACACGCCGAGGTGCCTATTTCTGCTCATTCTGGGTTTGCTGGCAGCAAAGTCTGGTTAAGGGGACAAATAATTCATTGCCCATCCCCTCCTTGGGACACAGCCTGTCAGGGGTGCACAGGGGGCTGCTGTGAGAGGGAGGTGCCACAGCGAACACTTCCTGCACTGGGGAGGGGGAGCTGCACCAGGCAGGGGGTCACCAGCAGTGGGACCCCTTTAATGGAAATTTTGTCGGCATCACTCAGTTTCTGTTTGGCTTCCGTAAGTGGGCACTGTGCCTAGCTCTCTGTGGGCACTGTGCCAAGCTCTCCATCATGGCCATGTATTATAGCAGAAGGGTCACAGGCTCTGCAGCAAACGCGGCAGCCGCCAGACACATTTCCTCCTCTCCCCTCCGTGTGTGCCCAGGCGCTTGCTTTCAGGTCTGTTATTGCATGGGATTGCCTCATGGTGGTTTTCTTGGCCTAGAAGAGGTGACCTGAAGCCTGAGTGTGCCTGTTGTTTGATACCCAGAGTGCCCAGCTCCTTCAGCCATGAGTGCTCCTGCATGGATTTACCTTGCTGTTTGCTCTACTCATTTTCCGATTGGATCTCTTTGTAGGTTTTGAAGGCTGTTCCATGGTTCCCACCATTTATCCCCTGGAGACCCTGCACAACTCCCTCTCTTTGCGACAGGTCAACGAGTTCCTGACGACTGTGTGCAGGAGTTGCAGTGAATCGCATGTCCAGTCCACTGCAGGTACTGGTCAGGTGGGCTTGTCTCTGGAGAGGCAAGGAGCACTCCTGGTCTTTTACATTCTGGGGACAGATCAGCCTGATAGGACTGGAGATAAGCGCAGTCTCTGGAACCTGTTCCAGAGTGCTCTAGCCCAGGGGTGAGCCATGGTACCCAGCTCAGAGCCATCCTAGGCCACTTACTTGAGAGAAAAGTAATCAGTCAGGTCTGTCTGTAGCTGGTGACTACAGTGATGTGGATACAAACTCCAGCTTGGGAAATTTTAGCCTCATATTCCCGGGAGCTGACGGGCAGGCCTGGCTCTGATTTGGCTAGCCTTGAGCTCTTCCCGGAGTACCTGATCATGGATGCTGGGCTACGAGCCATTCCTTTAGGTCTGTCTGAATATTACTGATTGTGTGTTTTTTTTCTTAAAGCTTTATTTGATTCAATGATTGGTAGCCAGATACCAGGAGACCCCTTTATGTCCCAGCGAATCCTGTCATCATCCTCTTTGCCGTTGCGCCAGCGTTCAGATAAGCCCCCTTGGTGTGAGTGTGCTACCTTCTTGATTGGGGTGAATGTGGTGGGGAGGGAGGGAAGTTTGTGAAAGTTAGGGAACTGATCTGGCTGAAAACAGTTATTTAATCCTCCTCCTTTATTGGATTAGATATAAGCTAGATCTGTTCTCTAGTTTTACTCACTGTGCAATATAAGGCAAGGATAAGCATTAGTAGAGAATCAGTGTTTCTTTCTCCAGCATTGACTCTTGCTCAGCATTCAGGAACTGTGTGTCAGGGACCAGGAGGAGCAAGGTGAAGCCGAGACTGGTCCATAATAGTGGTCCATAATAGGAGAGAATGAAAGAAAATGGTTTTGTTTTCAAAGCCATCACACTTCACATTTTGCTCTGTGACAACAGAATCCACTCTTGGTTGTATGCCACTGGATTACAGGATGGAACTGTCCTGTGTGTGATTGAATTTTCATCAGCTAAGCTGCCAGAAACACCCCAAGACCAGTTGCAAGCCCCTGCCAGGTTGCCTGGCATGTAGACAGCCATCACGTGTTGGTTGTAGAACTGCAGGACTGTGACAGTTCGGGTGGGGAAATACCAGCTACATGCTTAAGATTTTTCTTCCTCTTTGCAGACAGCAGTGGCCCCTCCAGTACTGTCTCCAGTGCAGGCCCATCCTCTCCAACTTCTGTGGACAACTGTGCTCATTTCAGCTTCACTGAGAAACTTTCCATCAGCCCCCCGAAAAGTGAGGAGCAACTGAGTAGACAGTCCCCTGAACAGGAAGAAAGTCAGCCTCCGGGCAGAGGGCTTGACATGGAGGGGGGGAGGTTTGGGCTGTCAGTGGCAGAGCCAAGAGTTTCAGAGACCCTGGCCTGGAATAAAGGCCCAGAACCAGGCAGGCTGTGCAAGAAGGAGTTGGCAGAGGAGGACACTAACCCAGAGGAGAAGAACATGGGGGAGCTGGATGAAGAATCATCTGGGAAAATGTTAGATCCAAGTAACACAGGAAACCCAAAGTGTGGTGCAGGGTCTGACCTGAGGCTGGCTGGGGAGCAGGTGAAGCCAGGTGAGGGTTGTGTTGGAGGAATGACTGGCCTGGATCAGCCTGGGCTGTCCAAAGAGATCCTGGTGCCCTGTGAAGAGGAGCTGCTGGGAGAGGTGTTGGATCCAGAGCATATGGGCAAGGAGCTGCTGGGGGACAGTGCTCTGTCAGACCAGCTTCTCTCTGGTCACCTGTGCCAGGTGCAGGCACTGCCTCCTGAGAAAAGCATGGAGGAACTGCGGCTGCTGTGTCAGGAGGATCAGCAGAATTAGTGGCTCGCTAGACAGCACACTGCAAGCACTTCTAGCCTGGAGGTAACCCAGCTTCCTGCACAGCACCTCATGCAGCTGGCGGTCCACAGCACAGAAGAAGCCAAGGCCACATGACCCTGGAGTGTGGAAGGATCTGCTTTGCTCCTCCACAAGCCAGCTCTTTGCCATTCAGCAAGAATGTTTGCCTTGTTAAATGAACAGCAAATGCAGTCTTGGTATTGGCATGGCACCTCTATGGAGCAGGGACATGGCACTGCACTGGTGTCCCAAGGTCTGTGTGCTTGCTGGGACAGCAGCATTAGAGGACTGGTACAGCCAAGGCTTTTGGGGTGGTAAGTCCGAGGGACCAGATACTCCCTTGAGACTTTTTGGCCCATAGCCTTCAGAAAAAGGCATTCTGGGCCCAAATTAATTGGATCTGTCACAACCACCAACCTCCTCTCTGTTTCTTCTTTCCTCCTCTCTCAATTCCCACTGCTGGCCACCAAAACCAGGTCCAGAGGGTCAATGGCAGGAAGACTAGGAGAAGCAAAAAGCATTCTGAATGTGGGAAGGAGGGTAGTGAGGGCATCGAGTTCAAGACTGCCACTCGCAAGCAAACATCTCTTTGGCGTGGCCTTGGATGTTTTCCTGCTGGGCTGGGGCAGGCAGGAGCGTGGGGATCCAGCCTGAGAGAGGTATGCAAGGAGGATGCACACGGGTTTTTTTTCTCGTCCCCAAGGGTCAGGCAGGGTACAGCTCTGAAGTCTTGGTGACAGAAATTAAAAGAAACTGCTCTTTGAACAATTCAGGACTATTAGAAACCAATAAGGAGAAATCTTTATTATATATAAAATGAGAAGTATTTAATACATATTTATGTAAATGCCTTGTGAGCACAAGCCTGAGGGCAGATTGATACGGGTGTCCCTGCCGCATCCCGAGTGCCGGCCAGGGCTGTGCTTCCCACTCCTCCTATATTTATGGACAAGTCTGCGTGTCTGTCTGTAGCTAGAATATGTGTTTTTGTGAAGCTGTGCCCAAAGATCTCTATGCTGTGTTGTGATGACATGTTCACAGTAAATCTATGCTGTGGGTCCAGCGTCTCTCTGTCTCTGATGCTGACTTGGCAGCAGTGTGTGTGTGTGCCAGTACTTGCAGGTGCAGCCCTGCTTGTGTCCTCTGTTCTGGGACAAGTGTGGCTGAAGTCACACCCAGAGTGAGTGCACAGGCTCAAGGCCAGGTACCTTTTTTTCTACATGGAAGAACTGGTCATACTGGGGAAGAGGTCCTGGCTTTCCAAGTCCCAGGGTGGTTTGTGATAGAATGAAGACACTGGGACAGTGTGTTCGGCCCCTTTCACTTAGTCCACACCTTCTGGTCACTTCAAGTACATCCTGGGTGCTGTGTCTTCTTCCTCATGCCCAATAATCCTGAGCTGCCAGTTTGGGCAGGTAAGTAAGATCAGGTTTGTTTGCACTGGGAATGTAGCAGTCGTGCAGCTGCCCGGAGTGCAGCACTGTGCTGAGGGCAACCTGGCCCCCCTCACACCAGGCTGTGCCAGCCTGAGGAGGTGAAGGGCCTGCTCTGCCCTCTGCTCTCCCTGTGTTACAGTCCTGCACGAACAGAGACCTTGGCCATGGGGCTGCAGCTGGCCCCGGCCCCAGCGCAGGCTGAGGGACCACACGAGATGCCCCTTGGGCACTGCCCACAGCCCCCATCCCGCACCGCGTGGCATCTGCTGCCACCAGCATTGCTCCCACAGCCAGGTCTCTGCTGGGCACCAGCTGCATCTCCTGCCAGGACCTGCGTGTTTCTGCCAGGGCCAGCGCCTGGGCAGAGCGGTCACCCTGATGGACCTGGCAGCACCTGCCACAGGGTGTCATTGCTGAGAGGGGCCCGGAGCAGGACCCTGTGGGGCGGGGGCCTGGCTCTCAGGTGCTGACCCCACACAGCTGGATGCTTGTCTCTGCACACCTTTGGGAAATGCATTGTGGTCACAGCACCTCGGTTACCAGGAGCATGGCCAACGCCAGCGCTCGTTTACCTGGAGTGTAGCTGTGGAAATAGTTCCTGGTTTATGGTAACAGTTTGTGATTCCTCCCCTGTCAGCACCAGCTTTGGCAGCTGCTCTGAGCTCTCCATCAGGCACTGCACAAGCTGTGGTGTGCTCCATGGCCATGATGGCTTGTCTCCTGAGGATTGCAGCACAGAACCTGCTTTCCTTTTCCCTTGCATCCACCTGTGCTATTGTTTCCCCCTGAGGACAGCCAGGTAAGAGCAGAGCTAACTGGGCATCAGCCTCTCTCACACAGGCAGAGCAGCAGCCATCCCAGTTTTCTGCTAACTGAAAGAGAGTTCCCTTGCACGAAGTCAGGTCAGAGTTCTGCAGAGGTGCAAAAGCCCTACTTCTGCAATGGGGACAGAGGGTGTGGGATCCCCACCGTGCCTGGCCCCAGCCCTGAGCCAGCAGGTGCTCTGCCTGCCACAGGGCCAGAGATCTTCCCAAGGAGTGCCAGCAGCACTGGGCAGAGCTGCCATTCCCAAGAAGTGCAGGGACAGATGCAAGGCCACAATGGAAAGCATGATTTGGGATCTGTGAGGAGTGGCAGCATCCCAGGACAGACAGGCTGTGCCAGGCTCCTCGCTGGATTATCAGGGGCTGCGTTCCCACCCCCCAGCCCTCAGCCAGCTGTGTGTCCCAGATGTCCCATAGAGGGACCCACCGGTCACCCTGATGGGGCTGGTGGGGGGGTGTCCCAGACAGCCTCTGTGTCTCTCTCCTGAGACACAGGAAGTTTTAGCAGCTGCTGGTGAAGGTGGAAAAGCCGAGGCTCGCCTGAGCTGGGAGACATGGGAGGGTGGCACAGCAGCTGTGTCTTGTGCCCCTGCCTACAGTGTGGGCTCACTGAAAGAACAGTTTGAAACTGGTGATGTTTTTGTTCGCAATTAATGTGGCTTTATTATTAATGTGTTGGGCTCCTCTCTTGACAGCAGTTAGTTACAGAGTGTTTCACATGGAAAATGGGCAAAAGGACAGAACTTAAGGAACTAAATTCAAATAGAAATATGATGCTGAAGAAAAGAATCAGGGCTCTGTTCTTAAAACATTTAGCATAGAAGAAGCTAGGAGCACAAGTTGCCATTTCAATACAGTTAAGACGTTCACTTTTTTAATTATAGGTTTAAAATAGTATTTTTTACCTATTACATACAGGAAGATTACGCGTTGTTGCCCACATGCAGAAACAAGCAAAAGCAGAGTTTAACTGTTTCTCTCTATAGTGTTGTATTGCCCCTGGCTCCGGGTAGGTCCTGCTGGCTCCTGTGGCCTGAGCAGGGTCAGGCTTCTTTACAAATTGGCATCTTCATAAGTCTTTTTCCCCATAGTTTTTTAAGATGGAAGGTGGGGCAGGTGGAAAAAGACAGGGAGCGAGAGAAGCTGAAGGCAGAACAGACTGCCACAAAAAACTGAAAACAAAATGTGGAGCCTTGAGGACAGGGAATCGAACTGGTGTAGGATAAAGCTGTCAAAGCAGCAGAGCTGCAGAAGGCAGGAAAGGAGCGCGGAGGGCAGTGTTCCTCCTGGAACTCGCTGCTGGCCGCACTCCTGCTGGAGGACGCAGGCACCTCACAAAGCCTCACTATTACTGCTGCTTAGAATTGCTTCAAGTTTAAAATTGAGAAAACATTCATGTGTGGGTCTATCTAAAGTTAGTGCATTAGCTTTTACATCTAGCCACATACAGGGATCCTGGGAGCCAGTGAGGGCCACGCTTGTGCCTCTGGTGCCTGGCATCCTGCAGCTGCTGCCACGGTGGGTGAGCCACGGTCTCCCCAAAGCACTGCAGCCAAATCCCCCCAGCATTCTGGGGGGGAACAGGGGCAGGTGTTGTACTGCCTGCTATTGCCAGAACCAACATTCATGGATGCTGACCCCCTCGGGGAACAGAGAATGACATTTATTCTGCTGGCAGATACAGGGTAATTCCATGGTTAAAATGAACACAGCACAGGGCAGGGATTTGCTAAAGCCCTGAGTAAGCTCACATGCTCCTAACAAGGGCTGTATCCAAAGGGCTGGCTGCGCCTTGGGGAGGTTGCTGGCCTCAGGCCTTGTCCTGCAGCTGCTGGGTTTTAGATACAGCCTTGCAGAGACGTTTTGGCTGCCAGCAAGTTCTCTATGGTCTTTTTATGTTGTTATTTAAATTGCAGCATGTAAGTATTTGTACCAAGAAACCTCTGAAGTGACACTAAAAGCACATGGTATCATGTTAACATGTATAAATTAAAATATTAAATCAACAAAAAATGCAGCTTTACATAAAAAAAATAATAAATATATAAATTAAATGCAAGATAGACCATTTCCCTAGAAACTCCATTTTTATCCTAGGAGCAGGTTTCTAAGCAGCATTTTCTTTATGTCACCTGCCAGAAAACTAGCACTGAGACTGAAGTGTCCCAGGCAAGTGCAACACAGGGTCTCATGATGCTCATGGTGGAGTCAGCCCTCGGCTCAGGGCCAAGCACAGTGGGTGACACAGCAGACAGAAATACCTTTGTGCTGAATGTCAAGCCTTGCAGCACTGCTTTCTATCTCATTCCTCCTTCCCCAGAGGACAGCCTGCTGCCACTCTCTTTGTCTTATAGAAAGATAAAGGCCGTCTTTGTGATAAGACCCTCTGTCAATGCTCTTGGAGGTGCCAAAGGCTCTTGGAGGTGGCAAAGGCGCTGCTGGCTCAGTGCACCTGAACATCCACACTCCTGGAGCTGCTCTCCCTGCAAGGAGAATGGGTCTCCCACACTGGAACAGGTCTGCCTGCCAAGGAGGTCCTGGGTGGCTGCTCAGTAGCCATGGTGCACTCACGGCACACAACTGTGCTTCTGTCAGGATGACCAGAGAGCAAGGACAGGTGCCCACAGGGAATGAGCTGCAAGGTGGCACTGCACGGACTAGCAGCACCTCACCTGTGTTGCCAACACATCCCTGCCATGACAGGGGGATAACTGAGAGTGACTACACTTGCTACACTACTTTCTCCCGAGTACTTCGGGAAGGGGGTTCTCTTTCCTCACACCACAGGTTCTATTCCCCACCTGGGGGGACAAAAAAAAGCTTGAACACAACTCTGAGGCTTGGACCCTGGCACACAGGCAGCGAGGACATGGCTGTTGCGTGCAGAGCTGGCACACCCAGCGACACCTGCCAGGCACCAGCCTCGCCCACAGAGCCTGTGCGCTCTCAGTGGCCTCACCACAGTCCTCCAGAGCCTTTCATTTAGGGACAGGAAGGTTTCTCGAACATCTTGGGCCAACAATGGCCAGAGTTGTTTCAGCCCTTCTGCTGTCGAGGGGGCTGTAGTTGTGCGTTTGGATGCTCTTTTTGTGTGACTGTTCAGGCCACAGCCCCCCTGTACCTCCTCCTGCCACACAGCTGATGTGCAGGTTGGCCACTATGTGTGCGAAGCTCAAGTTAACAGGTTAGGAATGTGTTGAACCCTCCCCTTCCATGTCCTCCCCCACCATGTCCTTCATCCTGGCTTCCTGAGCACCCAAGCAGGTGCTGCAGGATGCCACGGGCAAATATTTGGGACAGAAACTTGCCATGCTGGCTTGCGGTGGTCCTGCCTAGTTGGAGTAGAAGTCCCCTTGCTCAAAACACCTCCTGTATGCTCAGGATGGGAGATGGAAGAATGACCTTCACTGTCACATTACAGTTGAAGGGTTTTGCCTTCCCTCATCTCCCCAGTGCACTTTCTTTGCAAATTAGATTTCACCTCGGCTCCGTGGCCCCCCATGCACTCTCTGCATGCAGCAGCAGCACTTCATGCCTCATCAGAAAGATGAGGTTCATGGTGCTGCAGGTTAAATGGTAAGGCAGCCAGCAAGAGAGTAGAACAAGCTCTCACAGCAGCAAGGCAGCCAAGATAGTCTACAGAAACTGTACAGGTAGCAGAATAAAGCAGGGAAAGTGAAAGTGCCCCTGGCCTGCAACTGCTCTTGCACAAACTCTTTGCTCAGTCCAGAAAATTACAGAGCCCTGCACTTCTTCCTCATGGCATCCAGTGCTGAGCTAGATGGATACCCGACTGCCTG